ACCAGTGAATCACAGCCGGAAGAGGGGTATGATAAATACCACAACCGAAATAGATAAAGTGAGTTTACCTATTGGTTGCCAGATTCTTGAAGTGTGTATATACTTCAAGTTCATACTCCGGCGTTGTACGCCAACCAACAACCGAATGTAAATTAGTAGTGAATTTAGTGTAAACCGTAATGCCAACGTATGAACTGTGCTCCTGATTGATGTAGCACAAGTGGTAAAATATACATCGAGCTTCGTCTCTATACACTTAAAAGAATATGGCACCCACAAAGTAAACTTATTAAGTACGTTATTGATCGTTCTTGAGACTTGGAATACACAAAGATAATGCAAATTGAAGAAAATTATATTTTTGTAATCATCATCTAAATTCATTCACATTTTACTAAATAGACTTATTGACTATGGTATGTACAGTTTGTTTAGTTTGTACCAAATTTCATCAAAATCTGAACATTTTTGCTCGAGTTATCGTGTAAAGGAACCACACATATGTATACTGTATGGATTTATTTGAAAATAATATATAGGTATATATATACCAAATACATATATATATAAATTGAAACGGATGGTGTTTTGGCCTCTGGGGACATCAAAACGAAAAAGTAAATCGGTCCCGGGTCCAGGTCTTACCATGAGACCTACGGTAATAGTTTATTGTTGTGAAATCCGCTAAAGTGACAATAAATAATACTACTGTTTTTTTCTCTTTTTTTTACAAAAAACATATGTACTAGCTTATATCCTAGTAAAAATAGTAAAGTCAACCGTAAAGCTTCAAGGTTTCTTTTAAATTCCTTCAATAGACATATAACAGCTTGTACAAAAATGCACACGACGGCGTTTGCACTATGTGATTTATTGTATCTCAAGTTAAAAGCCGACGTCGCTCATGGATTATGGAGGAGCTCGACCTAGTTCTTGCTATAAAGCTTACCACAGTAATGACAGCTTACTCTAGCGGAGTTTTATGAGGTTGATCACCCTTGGTAAGAAGAAAATAAAGAAAAACAATATTTAGAAAAAGTGAAAACTGATTGCTGAGCTAATATGTTTCTATTTTAAATTTTCCTAACTCAGTACAATTCTTCCTAAACATTCATCACATTTCCTTTCTTAAAATTCTTTAAAATTCATAGATTGTCTTTCATTCTCCCTAATCCTCGCTATTTATTACAGTAACAAGTTTTGTTCTCCATTTGATCTTCCCGGGTTGTTATTCATCAGTGCAGATCCATATATGTGTTTTTTGAAAAACTTAACAAAGTTTGCCCAACGTATAAGGTATCACAATTGTGACAATTTATTTTGTAGATACCCGAAGCGTCAAAATTGTTACAACCCTCTATCTGTGGATGAAGTATTGGTTGTAGTTTTACCTTACCTGAGAGATGTCTAGTTTAAAATATATTTATTCACTTTACAATATATTCTTCGTGTCGACTCACCATTATCGACTAGCAAACTGAATTGGTGTTTTCTGGCTAGAAAACGTCTCACCAAAGACTTGGTAGATATGAAATTTTATCTATTTACATGAGTTATCAGTGCCAAGGTCTCTGTAACATCAGTGTCAAGTGACTGACGCTATGGTTGAATCGTGGCTTGTAGGATTAATACTATCTGTCAGGTAGGTACCTAAAATATGTATACGCACCAATAAAATATGTAATATGTATATACCATTTAATATACACAACTTGGTTTAACTCTAAAATAAGATGCATATGCTGGACTCAGATTTCATAGGTTTGTTTATAAAACACAAAGTGGCGAAATATTTATTTTAACCTGATTACACTATAATTTAACAGTGCATTCAGTTTGTTATGGGTTTGAGTAAATTAAAAAGAAAGGCATTGTAAGGCTAGCAGATTTATATTACCAATAAATAATGTATCCCAAGTTTTATTTTCCAAAATTTGTGTTGGTAGTTTGTCAGCAATAAAATTGTATTTTGAATTGTAGATATGTGCCAAATATATAATTTTTATGAAATACATTGCAGTTTGGTGGTGCTTATACGTTGGTTTGCATTAAAGTTGGCCTTATCATTTGGGTTTCTTGAGTTTTGCCAAATTCTTCTGAGTCGTCTCTTTTCTGCTATCTTTTTCTTGATATGAATTGGGTAGCCTAGACCTATTTTCTCTGATTTTTCATGATTAGGTAGAGGTGTGGATTCTTTGGCAGAATTTTGAATACAGTCAACAAAATGATCAACAGCAGCTTCTTATAATATAACTCTTATAACTTGGGCATTTTATAATATTGTTTGAGAAGATTCTAGAATTTTATTTTTTTGTGTTTACTGTACGTACAACGACGCTATTCAAGCAAAAAGAGGAATATTAATCTGCAATAGAGGTAATACGATTTTTTGTAGTGAAATTGGTTCACGTTTCTCACCTATTCACAAAAACCCTTAACGGCTCCTGAATTATTATTGATGAGAATGTCTAATTGACAATAACCACACAATTTTATTAGTATTCTATTAACGTCCGTTTTTCTTTTCCCATTTTTGGTCCAAGATAACAGTGAATTAGGTTATGCTTAAAATCGAATTAATCTGATTAATATAGTAATTGAAATTTCTAATGGTTTCTCGCATTTTTAACTGATATGTGCAATGATGTATACAGTATCACAACAAATGAAAAACACTTAATTTATTGTGTAATCACACGAAGATTCAATTGATAAAAGATGAGTGCAAGTCTAAGATTAGTGCAATGTTCAACTTTATGAGTGCAATTATACTTTTTGATAAAGCGACAATCTTAAGCAATCTTGAGATTACGACGACCGCAATAAAATACTATTTCAATGGAAAGTTACATTTGCAAAGATGAACATTTTCTAAATAATTCATAAAACAAAGTATGGACCCAGTTTGAATTTGTATATTTTATTAATTAGTAAAACAGATAATTTTATTTCCAGGTTTCTAACTAAAACTTTATGTCCTAACAGTACTTTTGAACACCACGAAACTTTGTCAATATTGTTAAAAACCACACTTACTATAGTCTCCTTCATAGCTTCGCTGTAAATGGTGTTCGTTTACTTACTGTAATTCTGATTTCAAACCTAGGTAGAACACATCCCTGTGATTTGACATTTGCGTAAATATTGAGATGGCTGGGCTAATAATTATTAAACTAACTACTTTGTTTTTATTCCATCATAATGTTTTATTGTTTTGTTGTGAGCACCCTGTGATCCATAACGTGACTATATAACAGTCAAGTTGACTAATGTTTATTGTATAGTCAATGCTAATATATTAAACCTCAGCTGGTTATAATTATGAACATATTAACAACATTTGATCATTGTAGAATTCTATTATTTAAAACTCTTATCCATAAAAAGGGATCTTCAAGGTGACTTAACATATTCCCTTATGGATTAAAAATTGTTTTACATAAGTTTTAGACAGAATCAAGATACGTTTCTTCCAGAACATGTAGACATTTTTGATGTTTGATATTTCCTGGTGGAACATTTAAAAAAATATAACTTATCTACAAACATTGCTTGACTATACAGTGTTTTTAAAAGTCCCGGAATGGTGTAATATATTTTTTACATTTTAAGATTAAGTAACACAGTTTGACATACCAATAATAACCATAAATTTATATTCTTTCAAGCTATTATTTCTTTATTACCTCTTAAGGGGGGATGGCCCATGAGGAGTAAGAAAAAAACTCTCAAAAAGCAGCATAGGTCGAGTTTAGTGTCAAATTAAAGGTTTTATATTTAGTAAAACACATTTCCGCAAACCCGAACTCAAACGGCCAACCAAGTAAAAAATGGCAGCCATTCAAATACTTCTTAAATCTGCCGTTTGAGTTCGGGTTTGTGGCGTTGTGTTTTGCTATCAAAGACATTTAATTTGATACCAAACTCGACCTATGCCGCTATTTGAGAAATTTGTCTTACTCCTCATGGGCCATCCCCTTTAAGAGGTAAAAAAGTAATAGCTTGAAAGAGTAAACGGTTATTATCGATATACCTAGTTTTATTACTTCATCTATAATGGTAAAAATATATTACACCGATCCGGGACTTTTCAATCACATTTTATAGGCCAATAATTAATTATATTTATATATATATATTTATTTATGAGCACTATTGCGCTGTTCTGAAGGTCCGAGATTAAAACATTTTGATCACCAACTTCCCTGGTATAAGATTTGCGATAAAACTGTGACCTGCTAGGTCGTATCCCAAGTGGAAATGCAGGTCAAATTACATACAGTGTAAGACAAAAATTATAGGTTTGTCAAACAAGGACATGTCCACTATCTTTGTACAGATCTCACCGCTAAAATCCATACGATTGTTTAATTGTGTTTTTAACTTTACTTACAGATGTCGTTATCAAAACATAATCATTTCCCTTACCGGCAGAATATTCAAAGAGCATTGTAACGAAATTCAGATAGTTAAAACTTTGAACAACTTAAAAATGAAAATAGTCTTAAAAGAAAGTAGTTTGTACACTGAGATTCTGTATAAAATAGAGTCGCATTCGAATTATATTTTGGGAACAAGGCTCTTTGCCACTAAAATGAGACATGTTATTGACGTGCTTTACTATCACATAAATTTTAATTTAAAACACTCAATACATGTGTTTTTTTTTTAATTCTATTGTTTTAGGGTCACTACTTGATTTGATATAACCTTATTTTATGTTATTCGTTAAGTCACGTTTATCTCAGACTTTTATTTTTGGTTTTGTTGTTTGGTTGTCCAGTCGTTGTTCTCATAATAGTAGATCGTTTTATAAATATGTAAAATAAGGCATCTTAGCGCGAAAACAAGACTAGCAAAATAAAAAATAATATAATGGCTGAACAATTATTTGTTGTAAATGATAATTTAGCTTATCAATTAAAAATCACATGGTATTCTAAGTATAAAATCATTATTTTAAGTTTAACACTGAATCAATCCTAATATTGTTACAGACTTCTGAACCTTCAACACACCTCAGCAGAGCCGGGAGTAGACGATGCATCCAAAGAGTTTGTCTGTTATAATAAAAACCAATGCAATGATATCATGTATTCCAACAAAAACTACGGAGCTGCAGAACCATTTTTCACCAGCCTTCATTCGAGTATACAAAAAGCAGAGTTAGAATTAGCCAACCCCAATGACTACCCGCTACACTACAATGTGGGACATGAGGAACAGTTTGATTTCATAGTGGTTGGGGCGGGTTCAGCCGGCTCTGTAGTGGCAAGTAGACTGTCAGAGGTGGGTGACTGGAGAGTGCTACTAGTAGAGGCTGGTGGAGACCCTCCTGTGACGTCAGAGGTTCCATCGCTAGCTGTGTTTCTACAGGATACTGAAGTCGACTGGCAGTACAGAACAGATGCTGACGAGGAGAACTGTCTAGGAATGGTAGGGAACCAATGTAAGTGGCCAAGAGGAAAGGTTCTAGGTGGTTCTAGTACTATAAATTACATGATGCATACACGAGGACATCCGAAAGACTTTGACAGTTGGGCAGCTGCGGGAAACAAAGGGTGGAGCTACGAAGAGGTCTTGCCGTACTTCAAGAAATCAGAAAACTTGGACGATCCTTTGATTTGGGCAACGGAGGACGCTAAAATATACCATAATAGAGATGGTTTGCTGACGGTTGGCTCATGGGCTGAGAATGAAATGAAAGAAGCTATAGACGTTGTTGCAGAAGGTCTAGCAGATATCGGATACCCATTCAATGCAGATCTCAATGGAAAAAATCATTCTGGATTTACAAAAATGTCAGGAACCATAAGAGATCAAAGAAGATGCTCTTCTGCAAAAGCCTTTCTAACGCCTGCCAAAAATAGAAGGAATCTATTTCTGTCCAAAAACTCACTTGTAACCAAGATATTAATAGAAACACAGCGGAAAAGGGCTTATGGAATACGTCTGATAAACAAAAAAGGAAAGATGATTGAAGTCAAAGCGATAAAAGAAATCATTGTATCAGCTGGAGCTATTAATTCACCACAACTGCTCATGCTCTCAGGTATAGGGCCCGAGCGGCAATTACAAGAATTTGGGATTCCAGTAATAAAGAATTTACCAGTTGGAGAGAATCTTCAAGATCACTGCCTCATGATAACGATGGCTTCAACGTTAAATATAAACGTTACACTTTCACCACCTAACGATCAAGACACATTCAACTTTCTTTTAAAAAAGCCGGGAAATCTAACCTCTCCTAACTCCTTTCCATTTGCAGCCTTCATAAACACAGCTGATGGAGATCACCCTGACATGGAGTTGCTTCAAAATCACGTCTCTAGAAACGACAAGAACTCTATAACTGGACTTTTAAAATTGTTCAACTTCAAAGACGAATCAATAGAAGATTTTAAAAAAATTAATAAAATTGACTACACAATTATCTGGCTTGCTTCTTTGCTGAAACCTTACAGTAGAGGACGAATTTTATTGCAAAGCACCCAGCCAAACATTTATCCCAAGATTGTTGCAGGGACATTTACCGATCAGCGTGATGTTGAAACGTATCTTAAGGTTTATGATTTCATTTCAAGGCTAGTTGATACTCAAGCTATGAGGAGTGTTGGGGCAAAGTTCCATGAAATCAAGGTCCCAGGGTGTAGTCAACATGAGTTTGCTTCTCGTGCGTACAGGGAATGTGCTATGAGACATCTCACAGGAACTACCTACCACTACAGCGGGACTTGCAAGATGGGTCTTGCCGGGGACTCCTCAGCAGTAGTGGACCCTACTCTCAGGGTACATGGTGTAGAAGGCCTCAGAGTCGCTGATGCTTCAGTCATGCCTACCGTCGTCTCTGGCCATCCCAACGCCGCCATCGTCATGATTGGTGAGAAAGTGGCAGACCTGATCAAAGGAGATTGGTTATCACGCTAAAATAATCGTATTTTAGAATTAAAAATGAATACATGGTGCCCACAAAAGATTAGTACACATTTCATCCATTAGCCATTTTCATTTCAACACCCAATGTTCTATTTTTGTTTGTTGTATCGGCTACATGCTTAAATTTAGTATTACTAATGTTTTTTCCGAGTTTGTTCATTCGAATAGGTATTGTCACCTAAAATAGAAAATTTTGACCAGTAGATTTAATGGACAAGTTTGGCATATTGGCTTCCTAGATTTTTCGACCAAATTCTGTGTGTTTTCTCCTTGTTGGGTGAATGAAAGACATTTAAAATCTCAGATAATGAGCTAATAGATAACATTTTGAACGCTTTTCTTCAGGATTCCAAATAACGCCATTTCCATTTAAATTCATGTTAAAAATCAGTTGTTTGCATTTTGTTTTAATTTAAAAAAAATGTTTGTCAGAGTTTTCTTCCTTAATTTATCAACTGAGATGTTTTGTCTGGTAGACTATGTCCCTTTTTACCATATAATAAGGCTAAACCCTATCATAAGGGGTGATGCGAGGAAAAGAAGGAAGTTAGTTTGCCAACCTCGTCTATTTTATATGCCAGCAAATAATTAATTATTTGTAATAATTAAGGTCACATTATCTATTTAGATGAGCAAACCGACCAACAATTGGGTGTAAAACTAAACTGTAGTATGTGGCCAAAACACCTAACTCAGGTAGAGCATCGTACGTTAAAAAAATAACAATAAGGCTAAGGTATGAAATTGTGCTAATCTTTTAAATATTTAGTTAAATATTTGATAATGATTTATTTTAGATTTTCTCAATGAACATGCATTTAATAGTTTTATTCAAGTATTAATTGGTAATTTGTAATAAGAAACGCTTAGAATATAAACGTTTTAGAATGTGATACATAAACTTGTTCTCACATACATGAAAGAAGATAGAATGGAATAGTATTTTGGTAAAAAAATTAAGATTTTGTACCAGAGAGAGCGGTTTGAAGCTTTAAGAAGAAGGCAGTTAATTTTTAAATGAAGAAGTTCTCCAATAGTTTGACTTCAGGTTTTTTATATGTCTAATTAGCTTAGGTGATAATTAGCTTGGGGGAAAATGATGTAAAAGGTCATGTTAGCCCGTAGTGAAATTGCAACTTCAGTCGGTTCATAATAAAACTCAAAAGTATGTCGGGGAAAACCGACGGGTAACAACCAGTCAGCAATAAATGACAACTTTGATGAAATCTGTTTATGTACTGTCACAAACCTGTCATTGTTTGATGTATTTGTTTCATTCACCAAGAAGGGTGCACGGGAAAAACGATCATAGTCAAAAACATTTTTTTTTTTAGATATTTACATGACAACAATGCTCTTGCATTGGACTATCACACAGCAGTTCAAAAACCAGCGAAAAATGATCGTAGTCAGAGTAAATCTCATTTGAATTCTAGCTATACAATGGAAAAACGATCATAGTCATCTAAAACAAGGGAATATCGATCATGGTCTTTGCGTGCCAGGGAAAAACGATCATAGTCGTCCATGTGTTGGCACTACTGTTTTGCAATAGAAATCATTATTAGTGAGTGAGTTGTCGTTATTATGCTGTTCTCATTTTGAGGTTATCAGAGTGCTTTTAATTATTTAAATAGTATTTGATTGACTAAGTAACGATAAGTTATTGATTAACAATGTCGAGTGAGGAAGCAGATGATCTTGGTATTACAAGTCATTTTATTTATTTTTTTATTATTTCTTCACTGTGCCATATCAAAACGCGGTCTATATTATGGTAAGAACAACGTATTAAAAGTGTACAGAAAAAATACTATGTAATTACTGTGTAAAATGTATCAGTAGGCCTAGGTGACGTTGTTCTATTGCTAGTGGGTATAGGCCATGTTGTGGAAAAATGATCATAGTCAGATGACTATGATCGTTATTGCATTGGAAGGTGTGTATTTGTTTGGGTTTTTATTTTTTTTACATACTATAAATAAGAAAATGATTTTAAAAATAGTACAATAGGTACATAAATGTACTCACTAGCATATTATGTGTCCTGAACTTGAATAAAAAGGAGTTTTAGACTCTTTGACACTAAATAAAACCTTAAAATCGCGTTTCTGGAAAAGTTTGTTTTTGTGACTATGATCGTTTTTCCCGTGCGCCCTTCGACATCAGTATTATAGGCCATGATAATCACTGTGCATGTATGCAATATTAGTGCCCAGCTGAACCCTATGTTGAATCAACAGCATCACTTTATACCTAATATTAGAAGCATTACAATAGCATGGTCATTAAACGCAGTTTTTACATTGTTGAATTTGTTCATTGAATTTACGTACAACCCGACCTAATACACTTAAGTTCTGTTATTGTTAATGCAGCTGTTACATTATTACGAATATGCATTACAGATTTATCTCATTGCAATATTCGGTATGATGGTTTTTCCCAAATTATTATAAGCTATTATTATGTGCATCTAAATTCTGCTGTTGATTATGCATTTAGGAATTTTAAGACTTATAAAAGGTTGGTTAGCACACATGAATTTAATCGTGCAATTATTAAATTTACATCTTCTCATAATAAATCTTGCGTCTCTAAGCGTAGATTCAAATATATAAACGTACCTCAATGTTGTTGGTGAAAAAAACAAATTTATCATGCAACCGTTATACACAATAAGTCTACAAAAGGATTATTTGTTAAAACGCATGTTTGATGGATTGGTCAGCACATTGCCGCTGGACATGTACGTCTAAATGACAGCTTGATTCATTGCTCATCGATACACATCCGACCTACTATAATGACGTGTCGATTACTCAGACATTGATGAGTAGAGGATCCCTTGGATTATAAGCGTACTGCTGTATTGTGCATCTATCAGGAAACCATCCATTAATTCAATTATTAATACGATTAAACACAGGGAAATATATCAAGACGAATCAAAATTATTGTCATCTGGATTAGTACCGTTTGGATAATTTCAAATTGCGTAAACTATTATAATATCAAAGCCAGTATATTTTTTTAACATGCAGGTTACTAATTCATTCTCAGTATTATTTGATTTCATCCTAATAGTTTTTTTTTCATAGTAATTTACGTAAATGATGTGCTATATAGAGAGAGTAATAAAGTGATGCAGATTTAGAGATCCTCAATTATTTTAGTGAAGTATTAATTAAGCAATTATTCATCAGAATGTTTCACCATCCCTCCCTCGCATGAAAAAAGCATTTGGTAAAATAGGTTAAATCAAAGCGTTGAACGAAATGGGAAACTCTGCAACAGTAGTCGTAGTATCTTTAAGTGTTGTTAAGCTATTTCCAAGCGTACACAGATTACGTGCAACAAAGTAAACAGTGTGCGACAAAGTAAAAAGTGTGCGACAATGTAAGAGAGTGCAGCAATTAGCAGCTTTCTGTACAATATAAACAGTACATGAAGCCAACTTTGTCATGTGACTGTAAGAAAAGTATATATTTCAATTCGTTTAGTAATTACGAATAGGAAGTACTTGAGCCAGGAGCAACTAAGAATATAACATAGCATAAGTAAACACAGAGAAAACTAATATCGCTGCTCATATAACGGATAATTTGTAACATGACAACATCGGCAATATAACGTGTAGAACTTCAAAAGGATGTGTCTACTCCAGTTAGAAACTGCAAGATTCCATTTTTAGTAAGAGTTGTTCATATTGACAGACATAAAACAGCTAGTCGCACAAGGAGGTTCATTCTATTAGGCTTATTTTTATAATACTTATTTATAAAAGTTGGCTTAATATAGGTTCAGAATTATACTTCTCCTGACTCAAACATCTACTGGAACCGACCTGTTTTTCTGTACGAGCTTTAATATTCTGAATCTAAAATGTTCATATATAGACTAAACATGCGTAGACCGCACACATATATTCAAGAATAACATATCTATATCGGAGGGATAATTTTTCTTAAGTTTTGTATGTATCTCTTGTATATTTTTTATGATGAATGATACGATTTTGATAAAAAAAAAGAATAGGCAAGCATGTTTCCTTTAAAACCTTTTTCTCAGCTCGTGTGCATCACAGGGAAAATCTACGCAAAGTTATTTGCATGTAGATGTGCAGAATCCCTTTATAAATAAAAAAAACCCAAAAAACAAAAAAATAATAATTAACATAGGCCTTATGGGTTGCTATGCTGGTGACGAAATAATAACGTAATACGAACTGAAAATGAAAACAAATGGAAGAAATTCCAATCACATGTTTTACTTACAGCTTGGGGTGCAAATAGAAAAGTTTGCACAATACATATATTTGGTGGAGTTTTCGACCACTAGTACTCCTTAATATAGGCCAAATTGTTCTCCTTAGAAAACAAAACTAGCGTAATGATCCGTTACTAAAAGTTACATTTATTTATTGACGGATCGTGTTCAGCTAGAGTTTTGATATTTTTATGATTACAGATTTTATGACAAAACCCGTCTAGATTCACAAAATCCGTTGAGGTTTTCGCAACACCCGTCTAGATTTATATAATAATAAATTGATGTTTAGATAACTTTATGCATTTAAAAGCTGCTAAATCATGACGGTTAGGTTTGTGGGCGTAAATTTTTTCACAAGATTTGACCGGCAAACCCTGATAAGTCTACCAACACACTAACAGTCGAAGACTAGAAATGTCGAAATAAAATTAACAAATTGGTGAAAAGTGTCGCTATGAACTATAATCCAATCAGTCTGGTATTTGGTCGAGCAAATTAGTTCTCTGTTGGCAAACAAGTTTACGTCGCTGACAAAACCCGGTCTCTATCCATGGTGAATGTACACTGAATAATTGTACATAATTTATCGCTACATGGCAACAACACAATAATACTGTGTTCTTTTCTTAAAATCTAATCAGTTCCTTGTGTCCAAGCAACTGATTAGATTTTAAGAAAAGAATATAATAATTTAGTCAAAGAAATCTGGTTCCTAAATG